ATAAAATTATATTATACTGAAAAATTTACAAATTAGAATGATTTTTTATAACTTAAATATAAAAATTAAAGATTCAAATATCATACCTATGCCTAATAATAATATTCTATTATTTTCTTTTTTAAAAAAATTCATGAATTCAATTACATTTCTGTTATAATACTTATAATACTTAGAGCAAAAACAATTTATAAGTATATTATAGTGATACTAGATATTTATATCATTCTGAAAATAGTGAACCATATAGAGTACTATATACTGCTAGTAATATTATTAGATACTATATATATATATTATTAGACAAAATTTGATGAATAACGGTAATTTGGCTCAACTTTACAAATAATTAGCTAGTATATGCTACAAAGTAGTATATGCCAGACAATTATTTGCTTAGTTAAATAACCATTATTCACCAAATTTGTCTAATAATGATATTATCTGATAATTTATAATTATAGTTCAATCTGCCCTGTGCGATAAATGTAGTTTTAAATCTAAAAAAAAAATTTGCAGATCATATATAAATCAGATTGCTTTTCTTAAAAAAAAAAAAAAAGTGATTTTATATTTTTTTCTTGTATCTTATTTCTACAAGTTTAAGAATACAGATTATGAGACTTTCTAGTTGTTGTAAGTTTTATTGAGTACAGTATATATTTAAAATATAAAAACTTTTACCTAATAGTTTAAGAATTTACTTGAACATACTTAAGAAAATACCAAAATCAAAATCTGCTGTGGCAAAAAAAGTTTTGCGAAAGTTCTTGCAAAAAATTCTGTGAAAGTTTCTGTAAAAATCTTTGCAAAAGTCTCTGCAAAAGTTTCTGCAAAAGCTTCTGTAAATGTTCTTGCAAATATCTCTGCGAATGTTTTTGTAAATGTCTTTGCAAAGTTACTACAAATGTCTTTGTGAATGTTTCTGTGAAGGTGCCTGCAAATATCTTTGCAAATATTCCTGCAAATGTCTCTATAAATATTTCCACAAAGGTTCTGGCAAAAGTAAACTTTACTTTGTGTTTTATTTCTATTTTTTTTTTACTTAAAAAAAACTAATTAATAATTATTTTAGCAAGTTAAGTATACAGACACAGGTCCAACAATGAAATTTTAATAGTCTGTTGGCTAGCTGATAGATCTAAGAAAGGTCATATATATTTTATAATATTTGTTTGATAAGTACTATCTGATAGCTTACTGCTATTTGGCATGTATATATAACCTATTAGCTTGGTGTATATTAACTACTTTCTGTGACGTATATACAAAATTTCAGCAAAAATATTAGCTTTAGAATATTGATACTATATTCTCTGATATTTGTATAATATTCTATAAGCAGTCATCAGAAAATTTTAAAGCCTGATTATAATTATTTCAAAACAGTTAATCAATTATAATCGATTAGTTTTAAGTGATTATAACCAACTGTAGTGTTGATAATTGATTAATATCAAAATTGATAATAATTGTTAATGATAAAAATCGATATAATTTAAAAGATTATAATCAATAGCAATGATTTATATCAATTATAATCGATAAAAATCTAATTAATTTTAATTGATGATAGTAATAAAAATCATTTAAAATCCTTAAATTTTAATCAATTATAATCTAATTTTAAAATTTTCTGATAGTATATATTAGTATTAACAAGATATTGGCTCATTAATAGTTATATAAATTT